TTTTTTTTTTTTTTTTTTTTTTTTTTTTTTTTCCTGTCCGGTGATCTACTCTACCCTAGCAAGGCGAAGGCCCATTGTCACCCTCCCCACGGACCGTTTGGACCTCTGTTTCGATTTCGAGGGCCGCCCCGGGTACCAGCAGGCTGGAACCTGGATGCAGTCCACCAATGACCAACCTTGTAGGGGCGAGAAATAGGCTCAAATCGTAATCCTGCCTCTGGGATTCCTTCCTGGATCCTGTTGCAGCTCTGATCGTCGACACACACGGGCGAGAGATGTCTCACAGCGTGTGGTGGGAGGCATCGGGGTCAAAGCACAACATCCAGCCAACGCTTTTTACTCGCACACGTCACAGCAATCACAAGTATTTGCGGGGAGAGGCACATGTTTGCTTCCAGGGTCTTCTGCATCTTTGATTTGCCCTGGTTCTTTTTTATGAGGGTGGTCAGAGACCAGCCACTCATGCTTGTGTGCTGTCAGTCGGACGAGCACTCATCCACCGTGTACACATTCACGGGTTGCTGCGTGTCAAGACGTTGGAGCTCATAAAGTATTATCAATTGATCAATTGCCTTCCACTATTCCATACTACTTGAATCTAAGGTCCACCCATTTGTGCCCCCTGGTTTGGGTACTTTATTTGGTCGCTCTCCTCTATGGAGCGCCCCTTGACGCGAGATATTGCGAGGTCGAAACCGACGAGTTCCATGTGTTCAGGGTTCAGGAGCAGTGAGGGACGGTGAGCTGGAATCCAATAATTCTGAACCCCGGAAAGCACCGGTGGCGGGCAACGGTCAAGACAAATGCTCGTGCTCCATCATCCTCCAAGGGACTCTTGCAGACCAGACCAAAAATCTCAAATAGGAATTGGTGGATGGGCCGCTCATAAGAACAGTTTATTCTTATGCAAGATTCCGCAGCTTCCATCTTCACGAATGTGAAGCGTGGAGCCAAGCATGAAGGATTCCCCCACGATATCCCCCAAGGACTCCATAGAAATATGAATAGCTTAGTTGACGCAGGCGTCCCGTTTGATCCTGTTTGATCATGTCGTACATCATAGCATCATGGCGGGGTCAAAACCCCTTGCTAGGCGAGTATCTGCATTGTGAACACGAGCATGGACTGTGACGGCTGCAGGCTGAAGACTTCTCCCTCCCGTTGTCGTTGTCTAATCTATGAGTACTTCGTACACTCTTGCGAAATATCTGCCAAGCGGGTTTCCAGCTTCCCCTCAGCTCCAAGGGCTCGAGAGCCAAGAATCACAAACCTTGCCCTTTCCAGAATTCGATATCGCACTTCGTACATGGTCGGTCTCCACATTTCTCGAGGGCTCGAGTGTTGCTATGCATTCAATCAATGATCATTGACGGCCTCGTTCATGACCCGCATACTTCACACATGCTGGACGGTCACTGCGGAAGTCCGTGCCACCGATGCTTGACGCCAACCCAACGTCGGCGGGGACCCAAACGTCCAATGTCGACGCCTACTCGCAGTGTCCTACTTCGTACATTCCAAAGGCTCGGCGCTGTGTGATGATCTTTCCTTTCTCGAGATGACCATTTCAGCTTAGCTTCGTCCGAGCTGTGTGCAAGGAAGGAAAACAACCAAGCTGGTGGAGCTCCGAGAACGACAGCCGCCACCGTTTTGACAGCACCCACGGCTCTACTTGCATGCATCGTTTGGGGGATGATCCCTTGGGTCAAAGCATCCACGAAGGCTGCACGCAACATTCCAATGACCTGTGGGGAGATTTGATCTCATGTCACCAAAGAACGTGGTGCCATGGTAACATCTCATATTTCTTTCGTATATCCCATACCGTAATGCCTTGGTTGAAATGATAAATACAAACTAGCTGAGTCGACTGAGCATACCGGCGCCGATAACGATGAAGAAGGAATTCGGGCCCCATCCAGCGGAGCTTTCTCCAGATCCATGCGATGGTCTGAGCACGTTCTCGCATAAAGGCTCCGGTTCCGGGCCGTGGACGTGTGGACGTCTGCCCGGTTTGAACTTCCCTCCCCTTGTATTCGTCCAATCCAAGATCCATTATTGTCCTCCGCTTTGAAACATACTCGCATCTCCTTTCTTTGTCCTTTGCATACTTCTATCGAGCCCGGTCCCGTCACGGGATTCGGGTATCCCAACGACCGCACAGTACGCAGGCCTTAGCGACCATTGAAGCGCCGGACTTGGAGAGTTCGGGGCATTGTAGAGGGCTTTTTTCGCCCTTGGCACAACAGTATATGATCTTGTGGCCCCAGTGGCCGCAAATGTACTGAATATTCTCGGCGTAGCACATGCTGGTAGCATAGACCCCTGGTTTCGGTGTAGGGGATGGTTATATAACGAATAGGCAACAGATAGGCTGTCTTTCTAAACCAGGCGATCGATTGCACTGCTGGCGTTTAGGAAAACGTGTGTACGATAGATAGATTGCTGCTGGCTTAGAGCGTGCTAGAGATAGGAGAGAAACCAAAAAAGAGACTGTTTCATGGAAGCCTAGTTATGAAAGCCTCCGAGCAAGTCAAATCGATCTCGTCCCGCCGAGGACAGGCATGATATATATATATATATGTATAGCCTCTACAGCCCAAATTACACGCCAAACTCAATGACCACTTGTTTTAGTCCATCTCTCCGAGTAATCTATATGGCTCAAAGAACTCCCAAGGGTAGACCGAACTCAGGCCATTCCAGAGAGGCAAACACAAAGAGCAACACCGCAGCTCCGTTTTATATTCGGTGTATCAGATTCACCGAGGACAAAGAAAGTTCCCAACACGAACACTTTCATTTCCTACTATGAAGCTAACCGAGAATAGCTCTTCGTACTTTGAAACTGGAGAATTACTTCCCGGCTTGCTCATTTGCACCGTCTCGAGCTCCCTAGTTTGCCCAGCTTGAAACACCTTTATTCTTCGTTCCGCCCAATCACATGGATCAAGAGTATTACAGTTTCTAATAGCCTCACAAGGCTTGTTTGTTGAGACGAGGCCCAAGTATACGGAGTAGGGATCTTCCATTCTTTGTCAAGTTGTCGAGCCAGAACGAGAACCGAGTGTTCCGGTATGCGAAGATATCCTCGATGGGAAGGCGGTACTCTGTCGTTTCCCAGATTCACAACTGTCCTCGTCAGATATCACATCCTCGCGGGTTCCTGATCTCTACGTCTTGTAACTACGCTTCGATCACAAAATATGGTAAGGAGCGCGTACATGAAATTCGATAAATGACATGAGCTGGCCAATTGAGTTGATGTGTTCCTGCCTAGTGACCAAAAAGACCTAAGCCAGGGCTTGGACCTGAACTGAGACTCGACTCGAGCATCCTTGTTGTCCTGTGAATCGGGTACTGCAATTGTAAGGACCGAGATGGATCACTCTAATGGCTTCGTGTAAGATTATGACAGAATAATCGTCGGCCAAGACGGCGTTGATCAACCTGGAAAGCACTCCTGACTTAAGGGCGAACCGTCCAGTGTCTTGGAAAGAACGAAAAGGCCGTGGTACTTCCAATTGACGTACTTCCGCGGAGGCCTCGGTACAATTGTAAGGCAAGTGCTGAGCAAAAGCAGGAAGGAAGGAGGAAGGAGATGGGAGATGGGAGGCAGGAGACAGGCCACACGAGGCAGAAGTGACAAACCCTCGGCAATCACCTCCAGTTCCCTCTTTCCCACGCAATCCTCTCCAAAGGACGCGCCTGCGTTTTGCTAAAGGCTATTATAAATCCTCCTTGGCAGGGTTAGATAGTTTGAGTCTGGCATTAATCTCTCCCGTTCCTCTTCATCTCGTCACTCTTGACACAATTCCACCATCAAGCTCCTAGTCACAGAGATATCTAAGGACTACCCATGACAAAAACCACCCTTATTAGTGTACCCATCTCAAGTCTCACTTGAAAATTCCCAGCACCGACCAGGCATTCATTCCTATCAATCAAGATGACCGAAACTACTTCCAATGTCAAGGCTGCCATCGAGGAGGTCGCTTCTGCTCCGACGGACGCCAAGGTTCCAGATCCCGAGGGCGAAGGATACCCGCCTCTGGGCCAAAACGAGCCTACGAAAGAGGAAAAGGGAACTCCGAAAGATGTTCCAACCTCGGGGACCAAGCCACAAGATATTACCCTCAATCCGTTTGAGGATAGGCCAAGTGTGGTCCACCTTGAGGACGAGGTGTCGAGCATATCAAAGGAGGCTCAGGTACGTCGTGTCAACCACGCGGCTACAAACGCTCATTTGATATCGATGATCTTTTCGCTAATACTTCGAGAGTAGAGGATTGCCTCGATCGCCAAACCGCACATAAAGACGGGGACAAGGGACCAACAACCTGCCTCCAGCGCTGAGCAAGCCGGCCCGGCCATCGAAACCGTGGATTCGACCGCTTCGAAAAAGGAGAGCACCAAGAAACGGACTAAACGTACATAGAGGGGCTGCGGTTGTTTTTGACGGTTGGGCATTTCTTTTCTCCTTCATTCTCCATGCTTGTTCTGATGTTAGGAATTCTTCGTGGGAAAGTATCCTGAATAGAATCATCTATAGTTAGCATAATACAGCAGTATCTCTACAGCTTCATTACAGCTCGTACGCTGTTAAAGAACCCAAGTTATTCATCATCAATTCATGCTGTCCAGACCACTGGCTAAACGGTTGGATCTTTCCTGAATACAATCATGACCTTCGCAGATAGAAAGTGTAAAGCTCGACCTCCCAGTAGTCTCAATAATCTTCAACAACAATCTTACAAGTCACAGCCTTTATGGACCCCCCTTCCGGTTCTCTGAAAGTCGTTAATCAATAATGGTCCGATATCTCAATCTCCGGCTTTCTTCGTACTCCCGTCTGCGCCTCTGTTTCCTCGCGCACCCGATCCAGACCGCGACGCCAATCAAGGTAGGTATCCCAAGGCCGACACAGACCGCAGTAATAATGACTGGTGTACTGGGTCCGCCCCTAGATTTGGGCACAGTCGGTGTAGTTTCGGGCCCGGATGCCGTTGTTGGCTATCAGCAAGTTAGTATAGGTAGAAATCGGCAGCTATCACGCTGTACGTAATCCGACATATAGCTAATTGATGTCAACTAGAAACATGACTGCCGGGGTAAACTTACACTACTGCTCCCTCCTTCGTCACTGGATTGTCGTATATAAAAAAGGTCTGACTTTGCGATCGTGGGTTCAGAACCGCCTTGTCCTTGAGAAGAATTGGGGTTCTGGGAGAGGAGCTCAATTTCGTATTCCGCGGCGGGGATGTATGGGAGAGGGTATGGGATGTTTTTCCAGGTGAATGAGGTGCCGGATAGGTCGGCTGTTGTTCGAGTTGGGGAGAATTAGCACTTATAAGTATGATTGTGAGAGATTTCTGAAGCTGAAAGATGATCTCCAAGTAGTATGTGACATCGCTCCTAATCCGATATCCTGGGCATTCCTACTCGGAATCAGGAGATTCCAGCTATGATTTGACAAGCTTGGATGAGGGACTCACTCGAGATATTGGCCTGCCAAGATACCACGCCATCTGACGTTTCGTTAAATATCCTCCCAGACAGGTACGCCGGCGTACTCCCAGCTGCGAGCTTCTCCCACTTAATTTCAAGAGAACCACCTTGGGGTACATCTCCAAAACTCGAGGTGAACTCGGCTAGTGTGGCCGTTATTCCGCATGCGATCGCGAGGGTCGCCCGCGGCGGCGCCATCGTCGGATCCCCTCTTGGCTTCTCCCGGTTTTCGCTAAATATTTCTCACTTCCTCAGAGTTTATGTAGGATCTCGTACTAAACGGTAAAAAGAGATGTCGTCGGGACTAAAGTCGTCCAAAATATCGAGAGGGAAACCGAAGCGTTGGACGGACGTCAGGTCGAGAGTCGAGGGCGCTTGCGTTTTCCCCGATTCGGTTTGACACCAAACTCAAAGCTCGAAGGAGCCCGCCACTTCTCACAGATTTGGGGGCGAAATGCTCTATGAAGAAAGAGGAAGTAAAAGGAAGCAAGGGACGAAGCGAAAGAAATTTGGGGTCGAAAAAAAAAAGAAAAGAAAAAGAAATAGGCGAAGGGAATCGATATCCGAATCTACTCGCCATCGATTCATCTGGTCTGGCGGGGGGGACATTTAATATGTGCAAAGACATTATTCTTGTTCTTTACTCTAACATTCGCCCTTCATTTATTATCTTACACTCAGCTTTCGCCTTCACTATGAACGTAATTCTTGCTGTTTTCTTGTCGTAAGTATGTATACACGAAACCACTGGAGGCCCAGTTCCTGGCTCTGGATCTTTGCCTCCGAAGCGAGGTAGCGTACGAATCCAGTCCCATCCCGGTTTTTAATATACTCATATGCATGGCGCAACGAGGACGGCTAAAGCGGGATAAATGTGCCGGAAGGGAACCAACCTTCCACGGTGCAAAATGGCAAAAGGCCAACGAGGATCACTCTCAGGGCATCTCGGGGGGTAGAGGTTCGGGCGGAAATGGCGGGCCTGTGCCGAATTAGGGAAAGGGATTCATCTCCCAACTGGGCGGTATCGAGAGCCGGAAGAGGGCAGTTTGCATGGAGATTTGTTGTTGTACAGATGGTGAGAGCCGGGATATGATCCTCCCTTCCCTCGTGGAGAGACTCGCGAGGAGAGAGCGTCGTATATTAGTGTCGGTATTGATGCGCCCCTAGCCGGATTGAAATTGATCGAAATTGATGGGCTAATGGGTTCGACAAGGGTGCCGGTCTTCGGTAGTGTAGACATCGGGGTACGCCTACGAGGCTCTGTGATATCCACAGTCGACATGCGTATCAATGGTTCTGATGTTGAACGGTCGAAAACCCTTGCAGGTCGAATATGTATACATATATGGATATCAAACAATTGCATGTAGGCAAGAATGTGTCCATTCTGCGATGACAGCCTCCCCCTCGGATGTGTTCCTGCCTTTCCCTAATAACATGTCCCTTCAACCCATAACTCCCGCAACATACATCGAAAAGGAAACCCTTCGAAAACAGGGAAAAAAAAAAAAAAAAAAAAAAAGACGACAAAACGAAAAAGGAGGCCTTCCATTCTACCTCTGCATGTGCAGTGAAGTACATAGTCCAGGGACGGACTGTGAAGGCCGGGGAGCTGAGGCATCATATAATACACAGGTGCTAGGTGGTGCACAAGAGAGTTCCTTTCTTCCTCCGAGGTCGATATTTGTCCCCACCTCTTCGATTGCCTCACTCAATCGAAAACTATTGTGTTGTGTTTGTGGGGTTTGGCACAAAAGATCAAGATCTTAGTGCTGGCTCCATTGGATCGTGTCGAGATCGATACCCTCTTGCACAAGCTCCCAGAGAGGGCTGATGTCGCGAAGATGCTGGACTCGGTTCCTCACGGCCTCAAGGACGTAATCGATCTCGTCTTCGGTCGTAAACCGTCCGATACCGAAGCGGATGCTACTGTGGGCACTCTCATCGCTGCTGCCCAACGCGCGGAGGACGTAGCTAGGCTCTAGAGAAGCCGAGGTACAGGCGCTTCCGGACGACAGGGCAATATCCTTGAGCGCCATGAGAAGGGACTCGCCCTCGATGTAGGCGAAGGAGACGTTCACACAGCCGGGGTAGAAGTGGTTGGGATCACCATTCTGATGCGTATGCTCCATGGAGAGGAGACCGTTGAGGAGACGATCGGAGAGGAACTTGATGCGCTTCGAATCATACTACAACAACGTGTATGGTTAGCTCGCTGCTGATAGCATTCATCGAATGGCTATCCGTAGATACGTGACAGAATGAATGCTCAAAAATAGTAGAAATCAGAAATTGCTGCGATCAACAGGCTGCGGGCCGGTCAAGGCCCATTCAGAAAGCCATGCATGTATAAAGCAAGTCATCATCGTAAGTGGGACGCACGCAGGGTGCGAACAAAACAAGAAAAGACGAGAGGAAATGCAAAGTAATAATAGGATAAAATGAAAGGCATCGTCTTACCTCCATCTCATCTTTGGCGATGCGGCAGGCCTCGCCGAAACCGACAACTAGAGGCGGCGCAAGGGTACCGCTCCTCAAGCCTCGCTCTTGGCCACCGCCAGAAATAATGGGCTCCAATCTGACACGGGGTCGCCTGCGGACGTAGCAGGCACCAATACCCATGGGGCCGTAGATCTTGTGCGAGGAAATGGACATCAAATCAATGTTCATAGCATTGACATCGAGGGGGATCTTCCCAACGGCTTGTGCGCCGTCGGTGTGGAAGAAGACCTTGTGCTTCCTGCAGAGCTTTCCAATTTCCTCGAGCGATTGAATAACACCAATCTCGTTGTTGACAGCCATGATACTGACCAAGCAGGTCTCAGGTCGGATAGCAGCCTCGAGGTCTTCCAGTTTGATGAGACCCGAGGGCTGCACAGGGAGGTAGGTGACCTCGAAGCCCTCGTCCTGGAGATTCCTGCAGCTGTCGAGGACGCACTTGTGCTCGGTTTGGCTGGTAATGATGTGGTTCTTCTTGCCCGATCGCTTGAAGAACCTCGCAACACCCTTGATACTCATATTGTTGCTCTCGGTAGCGCCGCTGGTGAAGATGATCTCTTTCGGATCGGCTCCGATGAGACTCGCCACATGGGCGCGGGCAACCTCGACGGCCTTCTCACTGTCCCAGCCGTAGGCGTGGGTCCGTGAATGGGGGTTGCCATATTCACCGACATAGAAGGGAAGCATGGCATCCAGGACTCTAGGATCGACCGGGGTAGTCGCCTGCATGTCGAGGTAAATGGGGCGAGCGCCCTGATCTAATATGGAAGCGTCCTTGACGAGGCCTAGCCATTATCAAAATTGCGTTAGCACAGCGGGAAAATTGAGAAAGCGGAGATCGGAGATGCATGACAAATACACCCGGACATACCAGAAATCGAGCCCGTCGAGGGATCTCGGGCCTGAGCTGCCGCAGCAGAGGATGAAGAGAATGGCGGATTGTTCACCTTGATGGCGGCCTCGCCTAGAGCCTGAGCCTCGTCCTTCTTCGACTCCGACACGTAGCCCCGACGAGCGATAGAGGGCAGGACGGGGGATGCGATCCTGGAATAGCTCTGCCAGATCCTCGATGACAACGTATTTCGGGGGCCAAGGCGGCGGCCCGCCTGCCTAAACGCAGATGATGCTAAACTCGCCATGTTGATTATCCACAGGGTGGCATGAGGCAGAGTTGTGAGGGTTGAAGGTTGGAGGGAGGAGAAAATGGAGAAAATGGAGAAAACAATTGTTTGGGATTTTTTTCTCTTTTTTTTCTAGCTGCGGTTACGGGCGCGGGCTGAAGCTCCTATCACCGACCAAGCGGCGGACGGGGCAGGTTCGGTAATTCCGTTTGATTGGCCGATATCTCCTTCCCTCATAAAATTCTGGCCCGTGCACGCTCTGACGTAAGAAAAACGCTTCGCAAGCCGGACCTTTTCTTGCGGAAGGAACAATCCAACCGGAGATGCTGCAACTGCAACTGTGGGCAAGCGTCGGCCAGTTCAAATTTCAAATGGAGGGGCATATGCATTTAGGTATTTGCTCGGGTTACGTCGTACCTCGTCACTGTGGTGGTGGTTGCACCTGCCGGCTATCTCGGCCATGGCAGCAGATCTACATTTGAGGGATTCCAGGATTCAAATTCTACGAAGATAAACTTGCAGATTGTCCGGCTGTTTAGAAACTAAACCGCGGCATTGGGGCAAAGGAGAATAATAGCTAATTGAGGGACATCGGGGCAGGAGGAGCGCCGCGTGGAAGGTCCTGGTGGCGATTCAGTGCCTGTGCTGCTCATCAAGGGTATCAATCGATGAATATATTGAACGAACTATCGAAGCATAATGATGAGGAGCAAGAGCACAGTGGACGACAGCTTTCAATGGCATCCGTCATCTGCGTCAGCCACCCTCTCAGTATTGTTACAAGGTGTAACGGTGGAAGACGGGCGCTACGCGGGCGTCTGAATTTGAGAGCTTGGGCGAGAATCGAGCCGAGCTGACAAGGCTTTTTGCTGTGTTTGGGTAGTCACGTCCTTGAGCTGCCTCCCGCACCGCCACAACATCGTCGTCATGTTCAGAACGCCAAGAGAACTTACCCCATCATCGCTAAAATACAAGCCTGCGCCAGAACCAGTCTCTCAAAGCTGAGCCCATCCGACTATTGACCACCTTCTTTCCACGCAAAACCTTGATTCCCCTGATCTCCTCAACCTTAAAAGCTTCGACACTACCGTCGCATTAATACCTTCATTCGATCTCCTACAATATTCGGTCCAATTCTGCCTGCTGCATCGCTGTGAAGAGAGCATGAGCTTCAAGGGTTTTCAGAAGAGCGTCGTTCGGGTAATTTACCCCCCCTCCATCCCTACATCCCTCCATCCATCCCACTGCCGGATCCGAGACGTCCGGGTCCGCCTGTTCACGAACAAGCGGGGATGAGCTACGAGAGCTCCCACGATCGTGCAGACGCGAAATATTTGTTGCTGACAATATGGGTTTGTGGTTTACGGTAGGCGCCTCAACAATTCCGAGCCAAGTTTAATATTGGCGAGAACACCAAAGATGCGGTCTACGCGGATGCCGAACTCAGATTCCAAGAGCTCGAGAAGGAGACGAAGAGGCTCCACGATGAGAGCAAAAAATACTTCGAGGCCATAAATGGCATGCTCAGCCACCAGATCGAGTTCAGCAAAGCCATGACCGAAATTTACAAGCCCATATCAGGTCGCATGTCCGACCCCGACAGCTTCAAGGCTGAGGGTAACCCCGAGGGCATTCGAGCCTGCGAAGAGTACGAAGCCATCGTCAAGGATCTGCAGGAGACCCTCCAACCAGAGTTGGAAATGATCGATGGCAGAATCATTCAGCCCGCCAACGAGCTCCTCGATGTCATCAAGGCCATTCGCAAGACCGTCACGAAGCGCGAACACAAGAAGCTCGATTACGACCGCCACCGTGCGACTCTCAAGAAACTACAAGATAAGAAGGATCGGAGTGCAAAGGATGAGAAAGCCATGTGGAAAGCTGAGAACGATGTGGAGCTGTCGACGCAAGAGTTCAATTACTTCAACGACCTGTTAAAAGAGGAGCTGCCGATGCTCTTTACGCTTGAGCGAGACTTCATCCAGCCGCTGTTTCAGTCCTTCTACTACATGCAGCTCAATATATTCTACACATTGCACATCAGGATGCAGGAGTGTGACATTGGCTACTTCGACCTTACCCTCGATGTCGAGGAAGCCTTCCACAAGAAGCGCGGCGATATTCAGGAGCAGGCCGAGAAACTTTCCATTTGCAAGTTCAAGACTACGGGTCAGAGACGCCCTCCCAAATACGGTGCCAAGCCTGGGGCCATAGAAGCTGGTGCCTCTTCGACTACCCCCAGAATCGCATACAGCCATAACTCGGATGTCATCGATAATCCTCCACCTCCATACTCACCGAACCCCGTGTCGTCCGCCCCCGTCAGTCCCAGTCTTGCAGCTATGGCGGCCGCGAAATCGAAGCCTCCTCCGCCCAAACCAAAACCCAAGCGTTTCAGCGCTGCCCCTACACCGGCTGTTGAAACCGTCACTGCTCTCTACGACTTTGCAGCGCAGGCCGAGGGAGACCTCTCCTTTAGGGCTGGAGACGTGATCCAGATTGTCAAGAGGACAACGAATGAAAATGAGTGGTGGACAGGAAAGCTGAATGGCAAACAGGGTGACTTCCCAGGTAAGATTATTACCCCTGGTTTGCAGCCCTTCCGTTTGGAAATTGAAGCTAACACTTCCTTTCTTGAAGGAAACTATGTGAGGCTAAATTAGAGCTGATACTCTTCCCCCTGTACTTTCTTATCCTACCAAAAGGTCTATGAGAGGTAGACAAAAGAGACGTCATCAGTGAATTTCCATTGCAGATACCACAAACCACACCATGATACAAGCAAACCTATTAGCTTCTTCCTCCGCCCTTTCATTTTCATTTTCAGTTCATCACATTTTTCTGCTTGGTTTGTTTGTTCCCTGGGAAAACTAGGGGGAGTTGAGGGAAATAGAGGAATTCTTTCAAGCTCGGAATTGCATTAAAGAAGGATCAATGAGGCAAAGACTCTGCTCGAAAGAGCAGTTGGAGATGATGAGGAGGAATGCTTTTGGAAGGTGAGGAGACCAAATGAGAAGGGATGGCGTTATGCATCGTAGCCTTTGCTTTAGATGACCTGACAGCCTAAAATACAATCCTACGTATGGAAGTGCAGTTGAAGATTCAAAAAATGCATACACTCGTATGGAGATAAACTGGAGATGTTATCCCACGCTCGTTTTACCTAACACATTGAGTGAATGATTTTGGTTTCATGTTTTGCAAAATCCAATGCTGCTCGTGTTTCGAGCTCTCAATTACTAGTTACAACTGGAATGCCTTCAAGAATCGAGCACGCGTTTGTCTCCGCCACCCCTTAGGGGTGAAAATGAAAACCCATTCGATGTTGATGCGACAACGTCACCTGCAAATATAACCAGTTGCTGATCCGCGTAGAATACATCGGCTTCTCGGGTAGTGGAGACCGAGCGCGGTCAACTTCTGAAAACCGCTTCTCTGGCTTCTCTAGCTTGTCTTCTTCCCTCTCCTCTTCGCTCTCCTCTTCGCTCTCCTCTTCCCTCTCTGCAGACGACTCGTGGAAGGAGTGGAGGCTGTGCAAGTTGACGGAAGGGTCGAAGCCAATATAGATGAGGGTCTTTCGGGGGTATTTATCATAGCCAGCAAGCGGTTTAGGGACGGCGTAGATGAGGGAGCCGTAGTCGACCACCGCCTCGACCTCTCCCGAATATAAACGGGGGTTGAGGATGCGGTGTAATGTCTCTAGCGCACTTTCCCCGACAAATAAACATGCATCCCCATCCGCAATTTCCCATCCATTGTCTAGTTCTGGAGGCCAAAACAGTGTCTGGTTAACTTCTGCGGGTGGACCATTGGGATTACGGCCTGTCGCAGGACAAGGCCAGCCGTTTCGTGTCATGATCCTCAGTCTTAGCTTCTGTGTCGTGCGCGGCGTGTCGATAACGGGGTTGACCATGTCAACGAAGCTATCGCAGGAAGGAAAATACGAGCGTACAAAACACTGGTGGTACGGAAATTGGGGGCTGGTGGTGGCATTGTCACCGTGGTGCACGGTAGAGGGGACGGCGCACCACGGGTTTCGTGAATTCAAACGCTCACTAGACTGCGGCATGACGAAGAGATGCGACTTGATGCCGGCTGTTTGAGCCTCTGGTTGATAGGAGTGACTGTCTAGGATGAGATCGGTCACTTCTTCCGCGCTTCGCTCTCTAGTGATAGCTAGTTCGTCCATTTCGTCGTCCAAAGGGTCGACGGGCGGCGGACCGCCGTCCTGCTGCCCACCGGCATTTTCGGGGTCAGACGCTGTGAGCCGGGAGGGCCGGGGAAACCCTAGTCGCTTCTTGTAGCAGGTTCGGCGGTTGTGGTAGCCTTCAGCGAGGAACTCGCGGCGCACCTGAAATACTGTCAATTCGCCCTCACGTTCATCCTTCTCCAGCTGCATGGAATTCCATCGGAAATCGGCTAAATCGGACGAGTAATCTCGCTTCCAGTCTCTTCTAGGGAGTGCGGCTTCTATTGGGCCAAGACCCAAGGAACTGATGGGCATGCGTAAGACGTGATGAGGGTCGAGAACGGTTGGGTCATCGTTGCGCACACAATGGGCCACATGATCCGAAATAGCGTAAAAATAGCCGTCGATCACCTCGAAGCAGATGTCTCCGCCGATTTCTCTCCCATCAAAGTCCTCGAGAACCACTTCTGGAAACCACTTCTTCTTTTCAATGTCGAACTGATAGATACGCCACCGGCGATCATGCCTATTGCCGCTGGGCAAACTGAGGCAGAAGAATAGGAACTTGTCGGTGTTCCTCACCGCTACTTTGGGGTGGCCTTCGACTGTGCGGGTAACAATGAATTTTGAATGCCGCGGATCCAGAACAATCAAAACGGTAGTGCCGGTCAGCTTGCTCCAGTAGATGCAGGATAGCATCCCATGAGCATAGTAAGCTGGGTAAAATGTGAAGCTGTCCAGATTGATAACTTCCCGGGGGACTGACCGGAGCATAGCCGGTACATCTATGACGGACTCATAGTCGGATGAATTCCGTATATCACATACCCTCAGTTTGGAACATTCTGTCGTGTAGCATAGGACGCCATTCGTGTAAATATAGCGGTCGACCTCCTTAGCTATGATGGTAGCGGTATAAGGGTTTGCTGTTGTGATAGCCCTTCGCCTTTTCCACCAAGTCCTGAAGGCTCTTGAAAAATCTCCACCTCCGCTGGCCCGAAGAGCCTCTGGTGAATACGGCGCATACTTCTTTTATACACCAAATCCCGTGGTTAGCGTCAGCATGTAAGGTGGACCAGAATGGGCACTTACAAGAAGTATATGGCGGCAAATATGGCGATCGTGAATGAGATACTTGAGTCCCTTGCAAGTCAAACTGAGATGAAAGATGTCGTCTGGGTCAAGATAGTCGGCCATGAATAACATGATCTCGACGGGCATGTGATAGAGATTCATGGTGCTGAGAGGCGCCACAGAGAGAATAGAGAGGGAGTGAGAAAGGCTCGAGATAGACTTGAACAAATACTCCGATGATTGCCGGCCCAGAGAAAAGAATGTCGACGTCTAGGGTGTTAATAGCACTTCCGTTCGAAATTGGAATTATTTCTGAGGCACAGACGACACATCTGATGTCACAGTAAGTGTGGCCGTGTGTCAATGGGCGGAGGTTGCCCTTATATACACTTTCTGGTCTGAGACTTGTGCCGTCATCTAGAATCCCACCCGCGGAGGTGAAACTCGAATTCGGAGGTCCATCCCTTTCGAGAAAGCAAAATTGGAACTGACGAGCCATGTGGAAGACCTGAGGCTCTTCTGCCGTCCTCCGCGAAGAAGAGACCGGCCGAATCCTTGACGGCCCTGGTCAATTCTTCACTTGGATAGAGAAGAGAAGTCTATGAACCACTCCATCTTCATTTTGATGAACCCTGTGGAAGCAGTCGCAGAGCACTCTTTGTGGGACGACAGTATCTCCACATCCCAGTGGATTCGGATGCCGGTAGAAGGTTCCGGCTGGGACTCTAAGCGAGGCCGCCAATGGGCGATGGAATAATTAAAGCCGATTCATTGAAGGGAGAAGAGAAAGTGCTAAAGTGGCGTGTGAGCATACTAGTAATTTCGTCTCTGGTCTCCGCGCATCGAGAAATGAATGGAAACCGGTGCGTCCACGGTCCCCATGTGTGTGGCCTTCAGATCATCGTGGCGCAGGGATCAATCAGAGGCATTTGAGCCGCATGACTTAAAAGTTCGATGTGACGGCAGGCAGAGCGAGGTGCAGTCTTTAGACCCACCGGCCTTTTCTTTCCATTTCATTGTTTCAAGGTCAGAACATGAGACCGATTTGGGCTAGAAGCTTCACCTTCTAAAGTTGGGCAGATACGTGCACATGTCTAGTAAAAGTGCAGAGCCTTGCCGATGTCACCGGGGGCAGCGAATGACCCTCGCTTCCGATTCGCTGGTTATCATGGGGCTACAGACCGTCCGACACGAGGTTACCGGTCGGTATTTGTTTTAACGGCGCCTGAATGGTCGTTAGTTTTCACGCGATATTAGCCTCATGCGGGCTTAGCCCTTTGGAAACGAAGGGCTTGGCTGCGACCTTCATAATATCACCCACTTTGGGCTGCTTTTTGTGAGGCCATTATAATGGCTGGTTTGCCCAGTTTTGCCTGTCTTCTGCGGCTCAGTCAAGTCAACCTGAGGTTGAGCCTCAATTGTGCCGGCTGGTCTGGGATGTGGGGGTACAAGGGTACAAGGTCCGTCTGAGGGTCGACAGCTCAGGCCAGTTGGCAGCAGCCAGGTATCAAACTTGACATTGAAAATAAATTGTGTTAACTCATAATGATGACTCATCATCGACCACTCACTTCAGGCGTTGAGTTGCTGCGGCAACACGAGCCAAGTACAGAGAAACACTGGAAATATATACAAACGGTTCAACGATGCTTTACTTGGGAGTGTGCGCCATCTCTGGATACATTTGACACTGCAACACCATACTTCGTTCGTACTACCGGCTTTGCTCCCCATATTACGGCCCCTACACGGCGTGCAACACTTTTGCCGCAAAGTGAGGCTTCCGTAAACTTACAACTCGACGTGATTCCAGACTATCGCTCCATCACCATTTCGACGTAGTCCGCTCACGTCGACTATGATAAAGCCAGGCACAACTATTCTTCGACCATCCTCCTCCTAACTTAATCGCCATAGCAGTACCCATGCATGCGGCATGGCTGATTTAGAGAATCTTCGCACAGCATCGCTGTATATAAACAACCAGCTCCTTTCGAGGGGCCTCTTGCGCGATGGCGAGACCATCGACTTTTCCAACCCCGGGAACAATGAAGGCGGGACGGCTGCGACGATGGGTCGGATCATGGGCATCGTCAATGATTTGATCCTGCGCAGAGATGTAAGTTGAATCGGTTGAGATGTACCGGAGGAAGCCAGGCCCCATCTCCATCTCGCTGTCGATATGTCTAGTACTATGTCTAACACCCAGCTCTCATCTTAGCGAGATGCTGAGCACCGCGAATCACTCTCAGTAGCGATGCGGACCCTCCGCGCAGACAACCTCAGACAGACAAGCGACCTCACCCGTCTGACCGAGAAGCACGCCGAGACGGAGCGGAAGCTGAACCTCGCCGACGCCTCGGAATCAACCCTGCGCACACAGCTCAAGAGCGCCGAGTCTGCACTACGCGGACTCAAAGAAGAGATGTCGCGCGCGAAAACCCTCGTCGCCCAAACCCGCGCCTCGTGCGCCACAGAAGTAAGACGTCGAGATCGCCAAATCGACACCCTGAAGAAGCAGCTGAGTGAAGCGACGAGGTCCCGTGGATCCACGAAAAACCCCGCCATAACCGTCATCAGCGTCACCGGCGATCTTGGGCTAGAGAAGGGCTCTCCAAGCCAGGCGGGGTGCACGGCCAATTCTGGCTACGACCTTCGGAGCGAAACGAACGAGTTCCTGACCGAGCTTGCCAAGAGTTTGAGCGAAGAAAATGAACACCTCCTGGTGCTCCTCCGTCAAATAAGGGATGACATCAGGTCCATGAGCGGCTGGGAACGCGAAGCCCCGGAGGGCGACGGCCATGTCGTCACCGTCATCGCTGGTGTTGATGAGCTGGAGTCTGATCTGAAGAACGTACTAGAACATCTACGCACTATTCTTACGAACCCATCGTTCGTGCCGCTTGAAGAGGTCGTAACACGAGAAGAAGAGATTGGCCGTCTACGTGATGGATGGACAAAGATGGAAACAAGATGGAAAGAAGCCGTACATCTGATTGACGGTTGGAGGAAGCGAATGGCTTCCAACGGAAGGCCCGTGAACGAAGAGGAACTTAAGATGGGCCTTCGACTCAGTCCCGTCCGCGTCAAAGACGTGGAAGAAACCTCTCACGGAGTGGAGTTACGCCTCCCTGCAGTCCAGGAGGAGGAAGAGGAAGATTATGAAGGATATGATGCGGTCCAGGCGACTGAGCAGCATGTGCTAGCAAACTCCCCTTGTCCGGTGATACCGCCAGAGCCCATCGCCACCTATCCAGATCATGTAGATCTGCCAGAAGACGAAAGTGACAGCGGGTCGAGCGTTTACGATGATGACTTTGACGTTGAAGATTACGATGTCGAAGAACCAAACGTCCAAATCTTGGAACAATCGACCGCCATGATCCGGCCAACTCAAGGCATGATGGACTCTTCACCACTTCCCGTGCCGCCACAGTTGAGCCCGCTCAAGGACTCGGAATCGGCAGGAAATCGCAGTGCCGCAAATGCCACAGGGCCACGGGGCAAATCTATCGATTACTCAAAGATTGCGGCGGAAGACACCTTCGAACTAGTTGAGGATGTGCCTGAGTCCCAGAGCGGGCGCTCACGAAAGGAGCTAGTAACGAGACGGCAAATCCGTCCTGCCACGGCGCACCCATCTACTTCCCAGACTGAACAAGAGTTCGAGTCAAAGCAGGTCGAATTAGAGTCATCCACGTCATCCCTAGACAGCCTCCTACTCGAGAGTCCGTCGAAGAAGCCGACCCAAGCGCGTATCAGAACCGTAACGGCAAGGCCTCGCCAGGCTCAGCCTACCATCAGGCCAAGAGCGGCACCCGCTCCAAGACCGCCCAGGTCAGCGGCGACACCTTCAAGGGAAGTCAAGACCGTGGCCAAGAAATCAGTAAGCCCGAGGGAGCGAGTTCAACCTAAGCCGGCTGCTGCCCCGACTCCCTCTCAGCCTTCTATTAAGCGTGTAAACTCGCGCCTTCCTCTGCCCAGGCCAGCGGAGCCAGCGCCACAACAGAGCCCCCTTACAATGGCTGCCATTGCAGCTAAGCTAGCTGCTTCCGAACGTGAGGCCGACGCGGCTAGGGTCAGGGCTAAGCTGAAGGCCGCGAGGATGGCTAAACGGAAGCCGGAACTTGCGCCCCCAACAGACTCGAATGAAATGGAAGCGCACACCGTCGAATCTCTCCAGGATACTGTTGATCCTGTGAAAACGGATCCCATCCAGCGCGAAGATGTGAGGGAAGATGCCGAAGCCGAAGCGTTCGGTAATGGTGAGCCTGAGGTGCAAACTAAGAGGAAGAGGGAGAAGAGAACCGGCAAAGCGGCGTCAAGGAGAACGTCAAGGAGGAGAAGCACATTAAGTCCTTGGGAGCTGGAGAGTCTCATATCTGGGAACGTAGTTGCAACGCCGGCTAAGTGAACGAATTATGACTCTTTTGAGGAGTAGTCGGGTTTGTGTGATTGGCGATATAGAGTGGGAAGACGAGGGCTTTGGTTGGGTTGGCTTGTTTGCTTTTTTGAGTACCTTTTCATGATGATGACTTGATGCCTCCAACGTACATTGGCATCACGGCCTTTTAGCAAAGCATATTCTAATATTTTTTCTCGAATTCGTTCGCCAAACACAATTAGAGAGGAGGCTAAATGAGAAGACATGAGCCTTGTCCTCCACCGAGTATTTTCCATCCCCATCTCGTCCTCCTCCACATCCTCCTTCACATCCTCTTCTAACTGGAACCTTAGCGTAATAGAGCAGTAATCCCTTGGCATTGACTTTAACTGAAGTGTTCGTGGGCTTGAAATGATTGAATACAGCTTTGATGCGGTTGCGAAGAGCGTCTTCAGGCCGAGGTGCTTTGGCTTGATGTCAAGGATTTGAGGCTTCCAATTGATCCACACTAGCGTCCTTGCTGATTTCGAAGCCCAGAGCCGATTGATCTTCCTTCAGGAATATATTTTTGTTAATTAATTAGTTAATTAATTTATTAAAAAAATTCTTACTTTTTTTTTTTTGCCTTTTGACAACATGTTTTTATATCTGTTGTATGTTCCTTTCAAAGAGCTCCTTGGGTGACAAACATCGCCTGAAACACTTGTGTACAATTGGCGCCCACTGGCTTATCATCACGTGGATTGGCGTTGCACATGCATCAACGCCCATCGACATCGTCATCGAGTCTGCGAACCGCTCCTTCGCGAAGATTGCTAGCTCCTTCAAGAGATAGGAATCGAGGATTTTCCTTGTCCTATCCATTCCTAGATTCCGTTAGTTTTATTATCTTCCCGTTTATTGAAAAATAGATAAACGATAATAGGGCACAACAGCAATGGCTCGGGACGGTCCGCCGTCCCCCGCGGCGCGTAAGGGAGCTCTCGAGCGTGGTCGAGAGGCCTACCAGTCTCAACGCTATAAAAACGGAGTCGTATTTTTCAGCCAGGTTCGTCTTGATTTTGCGCTTGGGGCATTATTCTTCGACACGGATCGCTAGCTCGAGGCATATTGAATTCAGTTTGCTGACGTTGGGTCAAGGTTATCAACTCTTGCCCATGTTCCGAGCCCTCTGGCGGTCGGACCCGAGCAAAATGTACCTGCAAGAATTACGATGATGGCCCAAAACGAGGCCAGGCCTATGGTCTTGTTGATGAGATCATGAGGCCGTGTACGTGTGAAGCTCCCGGGCGTATCTTCTCGAGATGCGATGATGCCCTTCACAACCAGGCCCTCGACTATCGGTCCGCTTGTTACGACGCGCTCAGTAAGCTTGAGCAGGCGAGGCGCGATGCTGAGTGGGCGCTTGAGCTTTACCCACTGCGACTTGAGGTCTGTTATTTTCCCGCCGCCGAGAAACCCTCCCTTTTTGACGAAGTTATAGCAGACTTCCACTGAGACCTACAGCTGACACTGCTGTTCTAGGCTTACTTACGCTTCGGGAAGATCGCTCGGCGGCAGGGTAACCACGTTCTAGCCTGGCAAATATACTGCGCCGGCTTGCAAATCGGTCGGCGGAATAGCTTAGCAAACGACGACAGATTCAAGGTGCCTTTCCCCGAAGCCCTTAATTGTTCGATCATCTCTGTTAATCAGACTATAGAAACTACTCCTAGTTAGACAGCCGCTCCACGCTAAATTTTCCAAGCAAGACCCTATTGAACTCCCTATGGAGATACTCGAAAGTATCTTCCTTCATTTTAACACACGCCAGCTAAGGTACTCCTGACAAACAGCCATTACCCCATCTTTCTTTAGGCGATGCTAACATACCAATAGCGCCTGTCTACCCGTATCGAAGCGGTGGTTTAGAACATTGTCATCTCAGCCGATCTTGTGGAGAAGCCTCGTCTTCGAACCCAGAGCCCGATCCATTGCCGGTCTCAATTCCGTGCGTCGTATCGTCAAGTACAGTGGCAATGATGTCAGATCCTTGACGATTACCGACACCAACAGGTTCAATTTCGAGGCCAAGTTTCCCGCTCTTTTGAATGGATCACGGAAGACGACGTTCTTGAGCCTGGAGGGGTCACCCGTGAATGCCGGCGACTGTCTCTCACGCGCCAGTTGGACCCTTGCTAATCTTAAACATCTAATCCTCAAGTCACACATGTTCCAAAAGCACAGCGTGCCTGGACCTAGCGATACAAACCGGCTCCTGAGAGATATCCTAGTCCGCAACGTCGACCACCTCGAGTCCGTGTGCATCACCTCTGACCATGTCAACTTTGGTCCAACCTGGCCGCGCATGGAGAATCTGAAAGCCTTGAAAATTGTGGAAACACTCAAAGTCACCATCTCTCGCAACACCGTAGGACAACGACACGCGCAGCTGGTGGAGCTTCCCACATTGTGGACCAAAGCACCAAAAATACAGCAGCTTTGGCTCGATGTATCTTATTGCGTTGGCCACGACCATGATATGTACGGTCCGGCTCCATCCACTGCTTGGCCTAATCTCCAATCTCTCGTGGTCGGTGCTGGAGTGAACTGGGGACACTTGGGCGCGCCTTATGAGCAGCTTCGATTTCTTTGGTGTCTCGAGAATACACAAGACGGGCCTCCGGAAATGCTCACATTGGCACCAGATGTTGAGGACACCATTTCCCAAGGGCCCGACGGAGCACTATCAAAATTACAACACATGTACGTCCCGCGATTCTGCGGTGACATGACCAGCGCTAATATTCCGGGGGTCGTGCTTATCCGCGAGGGGGTCGAGGCGGCGGTGGCATCGGGGACTTTACGTACCCTCGCCATGAAGATCGCCATGAAGACCCAGGAACGTGAATATATCAACCAGTTTAACTGGCTTAGAGGCTGCGTCTCTCTGCGCACGTTGTCTCTCTTCGTCACCGCGGAGCCTTTTAGAGCCCGGCTAGTGGCTAGTTACTCCGGCAGGGCTCATATGCCTTGGTTCTCCACGAGCGCCAAGGAAGTGGCGGGCCTTGTTGCATCCTTCCCGAACCTCGAGACGCTCGAGGTGAGCCACGAAGAAGACGAGATTTCGACGATTGGAGCCATTATTGAGGCCGTTGCGCAGGAGTCGGGCTCGGTAAAGGTTATCTACCAGGACAAAATCATTGGCGCGCCGTATGACAATTTGAAGGATTACCTGAAGAAGAGATCGGTGGAGCTGCGCTACGGGCGTCTTTCTCTTCCAGAATTTCCCCTGAAGCTTGAAGGGCTGTGAACGAGTCTATGTAGCAGGCTTGGTATGGATGGCAAGATGGACCACTTGCCCTACGCCGAGGTTGTGAGTGGGGTTTAGGAAGCGATTCTCACTCTGGTCCATTTTTCTATGTTTGAACATTCATTCATGGGCGTTTTATCGGGTGATACCCTTTCGTCTAGCGGTTTCGGCGCAGATATGGTTTATGAATAAAATGACGGTATCGCGCAGAGATCCTTACGTCCAGCGATACCTATATGACTACTAGATATCACCATCGTAGTCGTGACGATGCAAAAAATGCACAATCGCTTGCGCAGCTATAATGTTTTCAAATGCATCTATTTCGGGCAATTTAACATGTCTGTAGCAAATGGGTCTCTCATTCATGTCTCCGGCTTGAACTTGCCCCTCTTCTCCTTCATAGCTTCCACCCTCTTCTTATCCTCCTGGAATCTCTTCAGCAACTTCCCTTGCTCCTCCTTCCTCATCTCCCTCAGCTGGAACCTATAGAATCCCTTCATCTCCTCCCTCTTCTTCGCCTCCTTCTCCAACATCTTCTGCCTCGCCTCCTCCGCCGAGCTCTTCGTCGCCGGCGCCGCCCGACCACCCCTCGTCACCGTTACGAAACCATCCTCGTCGGGCTCGTTCCTTAACCTCTTGGCCATCTCGGCGGCCTCCTTCTCCTTGCGGTTGAACACCTCGAAGAAGGCGTGCACGGCGTTCTGTGTCTCCGCCTTATCGGCCCTGGAGAGCCTCAGGTGCGCCTGCAACCAGGGAGCGCCCAAGGGAGGAACCTCGGCGCTCTCGGGGATGCCCTGGCCCCAGACGGGGTATTTCCCGTTCTTGTTCGACTTGGCCACGGCCTTGAGGACCATCTGGGCGGACTTTTCGTCGGCCAGCAGCACGAGGGCCGAAGATCCGCTCTTGTGCAGGTTCCGCGTCCAGATGTCGGGTAGCCGCGCCTCTTTTTCCTTTTCGGCGTCGGCTTCCTGCTCCGCGCGCTTCCTCTTTCGGCCCATGTTGGCCATTTTCACGGCGGCGGCCGGGTCGAGCGTCACGACGCCGCGGAGCTGGGCATTACTGCTCGTGGTGTTCGTGACGGCCGTGCGGGAGCCTTCGTCAGAGAAAGTTACGGATTCGAAGCGGCCGGGGCCGACGAGGTGTGCGAAGAGAGCGCGGAGGTGGGCGGGGGTGGTGTCGGCGGGGATGTTTTTGAGGAAGAGGGTGCGGGAGTCGGTGGGGGAGGGGTTCGTGGGTCGGTTGCGGCGCAGGCGGAGCTCGTGGTGGATTTGGACTTTGTAGGAGGGGGTCGGGGATATTGCTATTTTGAGGATGAGGAAGGATTCCTCGGGGGTGGACGAGGTGAAGTCGGCCATTGCTGTACGCTTTGCCCGTTGAGCAGGGTAGTTGGCGGTTGATGGTTTCAATGGAGGCACAGAATGAGTAGAATAACAGTGATCACTGCTATACAAACATTAAATAAAAGGTTCCAGAATGAGTCAGGGCGTTAATCGCAGATGCGTCCCAGGTAGATGCCTCTTGTAGAACTTGACGATGGGTATACACAATATTGCTGTCTCGCAAGCACGAAAGCGGTGGGCACTTTTTTGTTTTTCTGCCATGAGAATAATTCTCGGTGTGTGACTTGGTCAAGCACTTCACCGAAAATGCTTACATAATAAACATCTGCAAGCCACATCTCGAGGGAGCCAGTCCAGATTGGAACCTGGATCGCATCATGGTAACACCAACACCCTCTCTTCTCCCTGAGGCCCACCTTGGTGCATCAATTAATCGTATCATCTATCATTCTGTACTTTTTCTGCTTGTCTCATCTGAACTGGGAAAATCCGAGACCTCACGATGCAGGTCCCATCTTCGTGGAATAGAAGAGGCAACCCACCCAACCAAGCCCGAAAAATAGAGTTACATCCCCCAAAATCTCACGATGCGAAGGTAATATTGAGGCAGGAAATACTTCGTAGGCGCTGCTAAAATCTCACCATTCGACCAAGCAAGGCCCTCCCTCCATCGACTGACCGCCGTCTTATGTTTTCCATTTGCTTTACCCGCCCCTGTGGTTAGCCCATGCTTCTTACTTCCCTGCCCCTTGTAATTCCCAGGAGCCGAGAGGTTGGTAAGAACGAGTCCGTCCGTCCGCCGTACCCTGGCCTGGCGTCAGGGGGCTTTTGCGCTTTCTTTTCCTTTTTTTTTTTTTTTTTTTTTGGCTCTCCCTTTTGCCCTGCATATTACCTCGTGCATCCGAGGTTCGATGGGTTACATTGATCAATCCGTCAAGTGGCCCACGACTCAAGGGGGGCCTCCATCTCACCCGTCCATCGACCCCCCATCATCAATTTGTCCAGCCCACTGGCATGAGAGACTGCAGCATGCTACCCGAGACATGCACTTTCCACTTTCCACAACGTCGGGAACGCCCCCGAAGTTGGGAATAAGCGCGCTGTGGGTGATAAACCAGGTCGCAAGTCTTCCCCGGAGCAGACACTCTTAGTCCATGGCTGAAGCCGGCTGATAGAACTAGTGTATGACAGTGCTTAGGGCTAACAGTAAAGTTGATGCTATTCTTGGCTCTTCTCTAACGAAAAAGGAAAAAGGGTGGGAGAAAAGAAAAAAAAAAACCAGAGCGGAGAGTCGCCTGAAGCCGATAGGCCCTCCCTCGAACTAGGAACAGCAGCCAAGAAATCAAATGGCCGGGCCTCATCGAAACATCGCCAATTACCAGGGCGACTAAAATTCGGCAACTAATCGCTCCGTTGCACTAGTTTAGTATCGCTAAACTGCACTGCACGAGAACCAGGCACTTCAGTCTCTGGGTTGTTACGTATCAGGCGATCAACTGGTCCGCTCAGCTTCAGCCCTGTATCCAGCCCTGCGTCTCTTGCTCCGAGCACTTGTAGCCCTGCCCCACCTCTAAAGACACACCCCCCTCGTTGCTAGTTTAGTCTGCTCTAGCCACTATTCTTCACTTTACTCGCCACGATTACTTGCTTCAGTGTCTGGTGTCCCTTGTTCTCGGTGACCTTGTGTCCCTTGTGCAGCCGCCGATAATCATACTTCGTACCTCAGTACTCTTTCTCTGGTGCCGGTCCGCCCTTCGCTCTCATTACTATTTTTAGGTTCCGGACGGTTTTTTTTTCTTTTGTTCTTGGGTTCCTTCACTGTTTCACTACCCCACCACCCTCGAAGGAACCCCTCCTCCTCACACCCAAAGCCTCGGTGTCCAGTCCACCAGTGACGACTGACAATCATCTTCATCCCCACACCCTCATCACCTCCAGATCGGGGCTTTCCGTACCTGCTTTCTAGCATCTCGTATCCTCCTCCAACGAGAGCAAGCAGAAACACGAACTGCACTTTAGTGCGATCGTGAGGGCGGGCGCCCTTTCCCCCCCCCACGAAAGTCAAGACAACCGTCAGAGTCCAAGCTCCAAATGGTTCACCTCAATTCTTTTGGCTCCATTCTCCAGGTTTTCCAGACACACACACACACACACACACACACACAGGCGTCGTTTAAGACAAGGGTCCACAAACTACCGTGGACCCCAACGGGATTGGCGGGTGAGACAGGGCACTTATGTTTAATATACTACTGTTTAGCATACCGAGGTATTTTGGTGGTTTTGTTTTTTGAAGTCGATATGGGTTGATATATTAGAAGTTCATATGCATGCAAGTGGGCTAGACTAGTCCGACACTCCCACGACACTCCCCAAAAGAATCTGGTTCGGTATGCACACTCCTTTCCCGGCAGCCACATTTCTTCTCCAATCAACGACCAGAGCCTTCACCTTGCATTGCATGAGGTCACCCTTTTTTCCACTTCACTTTTCATAAAAAAAGGACAACGGCTTGCCTTCCTCCCCAGGCCTGTATTCGGCCCTGCATCTTCATCTCGTACGACCAGATCTCACTTCAACATCACCATGTCCATTCATACCCCCGAAACGAAACAAAAGTAATTTAACCCATCTTCGTAATCAGAATCCCTATCAAACCTCGGTGATGAACACTGAAAAGCACACTCCCCCTCCCTTCCCCCCTCCCTTCCCCTCCTCCCCTCCCGCTTCCTTCTCGGCCGCGCCCTGCCCCACATCGGACCGGAACCCAAATCGGTGGGGTTTAATCCGTTCCTCTCTTCCCATATCCAATCCCAAGGCGAACGAAACTTTCTTTTATATTACCCCCGCGATATACGGGGAACTATACGGGGGACGCGAGGGATCTAGACATCTTCACCTCGGAGATATCATTCCTCCAGGGCGGCGCAGTACCATCTTATTTTCTTTTTGTTTGTTTTTTTGGTAAGTCGAGAGAGGTGTGCACCTTCTCAGTTGCTTCGACACTCCCCTCATCACCAAGGTTCTCACCACCCATAGCCTCCCTCTCCTCCCCATTGCCCACACCCCCGATGACTCAAAGGGGGTAAAAAGGAACAAAATGAAAGCAAATTAGGCCAACAAATCCCAAGTTAAACCTATCAGGCGAGCCACCTGTGGCTTTTGGTCAGCCGTAAACAACCTCTACGACTCCAATCCCAGCCGCCCCCAACAGCTAAATCGCGGCGCAGGCTCGCTTAACCACTCTTCTCCCTCTCGTGTAAGCGCCGTAGTTTCGCCGCCAAGCGTTTAGCGATCTGTGTTTCTGTGTTGTTAGCCTGCTCGTGTTGCACACGGACTCCTTCCCCTTTCGAGAAAGGACAGAAACAGAAGTAGAACTTGGTCACATGTGGAAGACAGAGGGATCCTCCTGCAGCGCAGAGATGGATGGTCAACCAAGAAAACACTTCGTAGGATCACCGGTTCACCTTAGAAGCTGCTCATCTCATGACTTTCGTAACTTGGCTTGGATTAAACAAGGCACCTTTGCAGGTCATGGGATCCCCAGGATCCCGCTCTGAACCCATCAAAAACCTCTATGCTAGACAAACACAGAGACAGCGCCCTCTAAACAAAATTTCCGGCCCTGCACAGCGAATCCTGCGGCTGTCATCGTGG